GTAAGCACATACGAGCGCGGACCAGTGCATGATCGGTATCTACACACGTGTTCCAGAAGGAGCGACAATCTCCTACCGACCCACGCCAACGATAGCTTATTGCTATGTGGTCTATTTGTGTCCAGCGTTGATTTGATGATGGGGGTCGCCAGGTCAAACAGTGTCTCTCCTTGTGTTTGAAGTTAGTGCTTACAAGATACAAATGATTATCTGAACAGAACTGTAGGAGACGGTCACCGTTGTCGGTTCGCTGGCACGGAATTCCGTATGTGCCACCGACATTCTTCTCAGATTGACACAATTTCCCTACTTGAGCATTAAAGTCACCAGCTATAACGACTATATCTGAGCGTCTAGCCTTTCGCAGCAAACTAGACAGCTTTTGGTAGAACTCATCCTTCGTTTCATCCGAACTGCAGTCAGTGGGGGCATAGGCGGAGATTACGAAAAGGCATCGGCGAGTAGTGCAGTCCTTTCTCCTTTTCACTGATCCGTTCAGACGGACAGCACACATTCGGCTATCTACCGGGATCCAGTCAAGTAATGTCTTTTCTGCTCTAGTACTTAAAGCTATCCCAACACCAGCTAATCCTCGTGAGCTAGCCGTCGCATCTCCTGACACCCTCAAGGTGAATTTTGCAGATTCATCCTGTTGGCCAGGTGGGGTTAGGTGAATAACCACACTTGGGTCTTGTATGCGTGTTTCTGAAACACAACATACATCAATGGCTCGGGATGCCAGAGTCTTGGCTAGTGATGCTTGTTGTCCTATTTGGCAAAGTGTCCTAACATTAAATGCTCCTATATAAAATTGGTGGCGTGGTTTTAGGAGACCATCGATGGTGGCTTTTTGGCTTCCATCGTTGTCAGTGCACACAGATTGAAGAGGAAGTGAAGAGCCATCAAGTAGAGGAGTTGCATTGGTAGAAGGAAGGCAAGATAATAGAGATGAAGATGAAGACAAAGATGAGCGAGGATTAGAGGGGTTTCACGTGCACTTCGGATTGTGAGGGCGGTTGTTACTTCCCGGCTGCCCACACCGTGGAAGTTGGTTGCGTGACCGCAGAGCCCAGGGGACAACTGCTTGAGGCCGGTCACACACGGCCTGTTTTTGTTTGTTCTTTTTTATTTGGTGTGTCTCAGTAGCGTATTTATCACTTCTGCCCTGTGACACGGCAGCAGAAAGCGCGGTCGTTGTTAATCCGGGCCCCGACCGATCCGGCATGATATTTTGTGATGTATTTGAAATCATAGGATTGGATTGGGTAACTGCTTTTAGTCTAACTGCTATCCAAGCAACCTTTCTGGCATGGTAGGACCTGCAGGAACATAAGTTCCAGCCAGTATAGCTTGTTGGGTCATTGCAGTGTTCAAGCCCGACCACCACGTCAAGGTAGCAGCTTTCGGTCGGGACTAACTATATATAGTGGAATTAGATAAGAGGGGTAAGAGTTCAGATTTCTATTGGAAAACAGACTAGTTAGAGGCATAATACAGGGTCAGGGTCAGAGAACAGAGTGAATTTACACATCTTGTGGTGGGGAGTTTAAGAGGGTGGGGGTGAATAGTGAAGTAACATTTTTAACTTAAAAAGACAAACAATTCAGGTTTTCCAATGGTTCTCTAACTAATGTCAGCTCATGATGAAAATCCTGTAACCAATCAAATCCCTACAAACCAACACTTGAATAACAAACAATTCAGTATATTTAGAAACTTGAAGGTCAAAATTGAATAGAATGTTACGTAACAAGACAAACACACAGGCATACTGACAGGAAGGCTTTTGCCCAACCAGTTATAAACGAGGTCTAGTAAAAACGCTCTTCAGGAGAGCCAAAGAAATATGTTCAGAAGACAAGATTGAAGAAAAACTTGCGATCACCGAAAAGAACCTAATCGAGAGTGGATATCCTCGAAAGTTTATATTAAAGTATAGAAATGAAGAAGCACACAAACCGAAACCTGACACCGTTGAAAAGAAATCAGTTTTCATCTGCCTAGCGTACAAAAGGGAAGACGTATCCACAAGAACACAAAAAAGAATCACAGGTGCATTAAAAAGAACGTTTCCAGCCGCCAGACTGATCCTATTTCACAACACTGTGTGTTCGTTAACCCAGTCAAAAGTAGATGAGTACCCTACTCACGTCAACTCCAACTGCATTTACCAATTCACGTGCACTTGCGGAAGCAAGTACATAGGAAGGACTGAGAGGACAGCATCTACTAGATTTTCTGAGCACATTCCTAAGAATCTCTGTACAAAAGGAATAAAAATGTTATCGAGTGCAATCGCCAGACATTTTATTGACACAGGACACACAGTAGAAATTAGCCAAGCCTTCAAAATAATCAATACACAAAGAAACCCATGGCTACTTCGCTTCGCAGAAGCCATTGCTACCAAGAGATTTCGACCAGACCTCTGTATACAGAAAGATAGTGTGATTAATCTTTCACTACATTGGTAACCCTAACTCTTTTATTTTATTTTTGGTTTGCCTTCCTGTCAGTATGCCTGTGTGTTTGTCTTGTTACGTAACATTCTATTCAATTTTGACCTTCAAGTTTCTAAATCTACTGAATTGTTTGTTATTCAAGTGTCGGTTTGTAGGGATTTGATTGGTTACAGGATTTTCATCATGAGCTGACATTAGTTAGAGAACCATTGGAAAACCTGAATTGTTTGTCTTTTTAAGTTAAAAATGTTACTTCACTATTCACCCCCACCCTCTTAAACTCCCCACCACAAGATGTGTAAATTCACTCTGTTCTCTGACCCTGACCCTGTATTATGCCTCTAACTAGTCTGTTTTCCAATAGAAATCTGAACTCTTACCCCTCTTATCTAATTCCACTATATATAGTTAGTTGTTTTTTGACACTGAATAATCTGTCTACTTACATCAAATTCTGCAATTATGTTCCTTATACCTTCTATCTATAGCTCCAAGTAATTATGAAAAAAGTATGTGCCAAAACTTTTTTTGAAACTTATGATTTGATTTTGTTTAGGATGTATGCTAGTTGATGAGTATGCACGAAATAAAACGAGTTTGTATTATCCTGCAAACATGTTCGTTCTTTCTCTCTTCAAAGAAATAATTCACTTCTGATGTTATATGCTACGACTACACTGCTGAAGAAATGATACAAATATACTACTGATTTTAGATTAACTCACCTTTTGACTATAAATCAAAAATAAGATTCGATGTTGTACACACCAAAGTTATTTAGGAGAAGTGGCTTCAAGCTTCACATTTACCCTCCCCCCCACCCCCAGGTATTTGTGATCCATTTAACACAGACCTGGGGTTTGTTTTTTTATCAATGCGAAGGCAGCATTTCCATATTTTTCTTGATTTGCTACATTTACCGACTACTAGTTAGCTGATTATTCCAACTGACTAAAGTCGACCAGGCCAGCAATCGTGTAAATTCACCATATAAACCCAATTTATGTAATCTATATAAATAACTTGTCCATGCCTGTACAACTGGTATGTTCCTGCATGCATAGACAGGAATGAATAAATATTATTATATTATTATTATTCCCTTGGGTTCCTAGTGGAACATAGGGCTTCAACTGCACCTCTCCACTTGCTTCTATCTTCTGCTGTGCTGTTCACTTGCATCCATGGTAGTTCACACTGTTTCAACTCTTCTTCACACGATCTCCTCCATGTCACCCTTGGACGTCCCACTCGCCGCTTCCCTTTCGGGTCCCACTCGAGCGCTGGCCTGACGCGCGATATCACCCAGCGGCCTTCTCAGGGAGTGTCCAATCCATCTCCACTTTCTCCTGTATATTTGTTGAGCTATTGGTTCTTGTTTTGTTTGTTCCCATAGTTTCTTGTTGGTGATCTTGAGTATAGAGCGAAGACAGCTGTTGATAAAGGTGTGCAACAGGCTGTTGGAAATATTCTTTGTGACCCGCCAAGTTTCTGATCCGTATAGAAGAACTGACTGACTTGACGTTTGTATTGAAAATCCGACTGTTGTTGTTGATGCAGGCTGAGTGACGAAGATTTCCAGATTGGTTTCAGGTTGATAAATGTGTTGCTGCTTTATTTTGACTGAATTAGAGTACACGTATATCTTAGCACTTCGCGTTTATATTTGTGTCCTAACGTTGCGATTACTCGACATCCACAACGTAACTCAAAAGGCACTTGCGAAGGAATACGATAGTGTATTATTGCAGCAATCAAAATTCAAAAATCGAGCGAGTACAAAAAGTATCAATTGTTAACATGCAAGATTTAGAGTAATAAACAAATCGAAGTACAATTACACAATGAAAGTATAGTACGATGATGAGTAATAAAACGGGTCACTACAAATGTGTTTCTCGCCTTCCCGATTCTCGATTTGACATCCTTGTCCGTTCCATGTGCCTGTAGTTGAGACAATGCTCCCTAGATAAGTGAATGAAGTAATGAATGGAATGAATAAATACTGGAAAAAATTGTAATTTCGACGAAGCGTGGCTCTCTCATTGATGATGATGATGATGATGATGATGATGATGATGATGATGATGATGATGATAGTAATAATTGTAATAATTTTGAGTGGAATTGAAGCTGAACCCAGTAGACAGAAACTCATCTACTCTGCAGAATGATGCAAAAAGGATAGAGTGAGTGAGAGAGATAGAGACAGAGAGGAGTGGGTGGAAGAGACAGAGTAGGTGTGTTATCTTGATTGATTTCATTAACTCACCATAATTCTTTAGAAGGCATGCATGCATGTAGTCGACCTCATCGACATCTCTTCGTTTTCTTTGGTGATGTGTCTCTCTAACACCTACATATTATAATAAGGCTTTGAGTCAATAGATCCTGTAGAACTAGGTGGTTTCATCAGCCGAGTTTGTTCTACCGAGTGAATGATGATTCACTTGAGCTCAGTATTTTTTCCTGTTCAAAATCAATATGTATGCAATAATATATTTGTTCCTTGTGTGTGTGTGTTTATTTCCTGTATAGTCTTACCTCAAAGCAAAAGAATCAGCAGCTCGATCTTGGCAAATGCAGGTTCATCTGTTACGTGAAGAAGTACAAACAACTGCTAAACACATTGAAGATAAAGTCAAAAGAGTTTTAGAAGAAGTTGGTGAATAAACACAAAAGTAAACGTGTCTCTCTCTCTCTCTCCTTCTTGGAGTTATCGACGCCGTTTTTTGACTTTTGGCTTATTACTACGTTTCAGGCAATACACCAAACTATTCCAGCATCATTTTTTTTGTCTTGAAATTTTTAATAATACAATTTTAAATTTACTGCATTCTTACACTTCTCTTACACTGTACATAGGCGCATGCGCATGTGAAGCAAGAGTTTCTGATTAAAGTTGCAGCAAATTTATGTGTATTACTCAGTTGGAAGAGTATAGTGCTAGCGATTGTATGGCAGGAGTGAATTGTATAATGTTTCAAAAGAATGGATATTGAACAAAGACTACTCTTTTCGATAACCCCTTCTTCATCAGGCTCTACAGTTATATACATACATTATAGTGAATGAATGAATGAATTAGTGTAATGAACAACATTAATGCCGTTGTTTAAATAACATCGAATCAATAATATTGATAGATTACAGCTGAATAGCATCAACATAACAATGAAATGAATGTCAGAAAAATTAGGAAAGATAATATTACAAATTCATGAATTTATAGTCTCTACTGAAGGCTGGCCAGGGTAGTAGCAATGGCTAGCTGGACTTGCTTCATTTGCACACACAGAGCACTGGTTGTTTGAGGCGAATTGCAATAGCCTCTGGTGTTTGGAGCATGCGGTGCTTCGATGATTTTGGCAATTTATTAGGCACCCGGTAGATTATAGAGAAGGACTCTTCAATCCTGGCTGGCTTCGTGGCCGGTTTGCACCAGATGGTCCAATATCGAACTGTTAATGGTTTTAACTACATCTTTACTTAGCCATAGTGGGAGATGTTCTCGAGCTGGGACGAAAAATCAAGTTCCTAGGGCAACGGCTGATATAATTCGCTCCACAAGTGCAGTTTAATTGGTAGATACAATTTGAAGTAGCTAGTCTAGTCTAGGTACTTCATCTTTCAGTCGAGGAATCACCATCGGTCGTGTAGGGAATAAGACGTGTAGTTCGCCAGCATGAAAAGTTCTTTGGACTGATTTTCTTAATTTCTTCGTAATTATTTCGTTAGGTATATCGCCTTTGAATTGCAGTCGTATGTATAAAGAGGTTTCTTGTTTACGGATAGTAAGTAGTCCTTTACCGCCGCTTTCTTTGTCATTTGTTTCTTGATAAATTTGTCGTGATAGCTATTTTCGATCAAAGTATCATATATATAATGCTTAATTCATCTTCCAATTACTTCTTCTGAGCATATAGCATTTCATTTAGAAAGAATACAGCAAGTTTAATTCGTCATAATTGAGTCGTTGGCGCAGAGGTAGAATGCTTGTCAGCCAGGGGTTCTACCCCCTACCGACGCACTCCTAAACCTCGCTTAGCTGGTCATAAGCCAGACAAAGAGGGAAGTTTGGGTGTGAGACTAGCAGTTACATCCCGTAAAAATACACACCATTGCTGCCGAAACTTCAAAGCTGTAGCTTGAAGCCCCATGTTCCACTGGGAACTCAAAGGAATAAAATAAATAAATAAATTTGTCGATTTCATTCTCAAAAGCACCTGTACAATCGCATTTATATAGATTAGTTTACACGGATACAATTACTACTTGCTTAATTCCATATGGTAACGAAGGCGATAATAATTTTCAACTTGATATGTAAGTTTGAAGGTACGAATATAGATTACATTACAAGAGGCTTAGAGACAAGATTGCATAGGATTAGAAAACAGTTACAACGTATGCAAAATTAATATTTGATAACTGATATTCTCTAGCCGCCCACTACTTCGGAGCAACGGGAAGGACAGACTTCCGCATATGACCACTTCATTGTGCATATATCAGTTCACCTGCTCTTGCGGAGCTAGGTACATAGGGTCGTTCTATGCAGGTCTTATCAAAACGTGTTAGAGAACATCATCCAGCATCGGTCGGTCGGTCGGTTTTCGACATAGAACTTTGCACATATGTGCGACAGTTCAAGTCACCACACTCCATGTAGCACACAAACCAAGAGAAGGAAGTAGGAGAAGTGCATAATATAAACAGTAAACAGAGGTGTGAGACAAAGGAATAGTAATAACGAAGAACAAAACAGTTTCATTGGAAATCATAAGTCACAAGGAGTGGATGCATCTGCGCCAGCCATTGAGAACGATTTTGAGCCATGTCGCCAATTGTTTCCAACCAGTGGTTTTTACCTTCCCGAAGGCCCCCACCAGTCAGGAAGTCTACACCTTCCTACGTGGCTTACTCTAACTGTTGTAGATTTCATTGACTGGTGCCATGTTTTGGTTTGACCGCCGCTAGCTCTTTTCCAGCCTGACCCTATATCATCTAACATTGCCCATTGTCGAGGAAGGCGATGACTAGACATACGTAACACATGTTCTTACCATCTCATTCGATGTAATTTCACAGTCTCGTCCACTGATTTCCCCTCCTTACGTAGCACTCGACCGATGGCCTAACCTCAATATTGCTCACCTTATTATACCACTTCACACGGGAGATAGAACGCAGATACCTATGATCAAAGACAGCTAATCTTTTCATGTCTTCCACTCTCAATGGCCAGGTCTCACAGCCATAAAGGAGGACGGAGCGGACTGTTGAGCAGTACACACGCTCTTTGGCGTGTCCGAATTCGGTCGGTAGTCGGATATCGCGTCTACTAAGCCAGAGACGGCGTAAACTGGCATATGCGAAACTAGCCCTCTGTATTCGTGCTGAGATTTCGTCGGGCTGATGGTACTTCCCAAGTAAGTGAAGCGCAATAGCTGAACACCTTGTCAATACCTGTCACAGTATCTCAACTGACTCATCATTCAGAGTCATTTACATAGTAAACAAAAATCTACCAAATGCAGTGTGTTTCCGACTTCTTTATACTGCGGAAGCTCTTGCCATATGCATCGAAAAGCCGGAGCTATGTGTTCAAAATGAAACTAGTCTAGCCTTTACAACTACCATGGACCTAGTTCGGTATGTTCCCTTATCCTTCCATTTTTTTGGTTTCTCCTCTGTGTGTGTAATTTTCTCTCTTCGTCTTCATTCAATTCATCCCATTTTTTTCAGTTATAAAATCAGTTATTTTAGGTTTGTTTCCATGCTCCTCCTGATCACACTTGTAATCCGTTTAGAATAACCATTTTACAATTATATTCTAATCCTGTGTTAAATTTTTGTTTCTATGCCTCTTGTAATGTATATTGACACCTCCTAACTTACATTTCAAGTTAAAAATCTTGATTTCAATTTGTTCCCATGCTCATTTTGCTCACACCTGTAATTCGTTCTATCCCTAAGTAACTTTCGTCTCGAAGCTTCTTGTAATTCATATCAAGTTGAAAATAATTATCACCTTTAATTCGCCTTTAAAATTAATTTCTCCAGTTATCAAATATTAATTCTGCATACGTTGTAACTGTTATCTAATCCTATGCAATCTTGCCTCTCAGTCCCTTGTAATCTATATTCGTACCTTCAAACTTTCAAATCAAGTTGAAAATTATTATCACCTTCGTAACTATATGGAATTAAGCAAATAGTAATTGTATCCGTGTAAACTAATCTATATGAATGCGATTGTACAGGTGCTTTTGAGAATGAAATCGCCGAAATGATATCTATGCTTCTGAACTTCTTGTTCTTTTCAATCTAATGTTCCGATGGGTATTTTCCACGATATGAAATAAATTTGTCATTAAGCCAACATATCAACTGACTGCGACTTTACAATTAGCCAGGATATGCAATAAAGCAAAACCAGTCGAATATGTCCATATTAGTGTTAAATTGTAAAGTCCGTAACTAAGTTTGTCATCACGGTTTAGTGGGACTCAAAATTTTGGTTGGTTTTCTGTAGGTGGTTTTCGTCAACCGATGAACTACCAAATATTTAGGTAAGTGCCATGTCCATGCGTTAGTGAAACAGCTAAATTAAAGTATCGCATCCCAAGATTGCGAACGCTCCACTGACCTTGAATGCCTGCTAGTGGTTGGATAACGCGACCTGTCATTATAATAAGGCACTATTATAAACGCTATTCACCAACGGTTTTAGGTACTCTTCAGGCAATGGATTGATGGCGCTTAGCCGCAAATGTACTTGTAGTGCTTCCATGCGCCTGCAGTGGTGTTCAGAAGCTGGTCGTGGACATGTTTTTAGGTGCACATAATGTAAGAAACGAATGAGCATTCGTGTTGGTGAGCTGCACACTCAGTTCATTGTTTTCTGGGAACTTTCTTTGCTAAATCGAAAATACTTTTGATGAATATACTGTTTATGTGACCTTAGTAGATATTGTATTCCTGAGGGAGATAGACTTCCGTGGAGAGAGAAAATACCTTGGTGTTTACTGTACAATGATTCCAACATTAGGGAGATATAGCGCCCTGGGAGTTGAATAATGTTACACCGCTGTTAGAAGGAGTTGGCGTGACTGTTCATATCGATGGAACAGTTCTCATAAAGAAGAAAATATGACCATGGTCACCCTAGAGGCAACAACGTTTAGGTACTGGGTATTTATGACACTGAATTTCAGAAGGGGGTAATGGAGGTGGTGATTCTAGATTGTAGTACCAACAACCTTCTACCCATTATTCAAAGGCTGGCCATCGTTTGCACTACGATTCACACAGATTTGGAATATATCCATCATCGAGTTGACCATTCTGATGATTTCGTCAACCTCATACCTGGGACTCATACCAGTTCAATAGTGGGTTTCTGGAATAGAATGAAAAGCAGGATAAGAGCAATGTATGTTTAGCAAAACGAACTTATTTTGAGTCACCTTGATGAATATATGTATAGAAATTGGCTCAAATTAAGAATTTACATTTAGTATAACTGGGGCGTATTTCTAAGTCATGCCATAGGGAGGTACCATGTGTTTTCTTGCATCTTTTTGAAAATAAACGTCATCTTTTGAGTAGGGATCACTTATTTTTATGATTGGTCGACTCAACGTCACTCGTGCGTTTGCATCCCGGGG